GAGCATGTCTGTGCAGCATCCAGTTACTCTGCCACCATTGTTAACCCACCAATTCGTCTGCATTATTTAATCCACATTTCCGCCAGCATCACCCGCTTCTCTCAGGGGTCTCTCCAATTGCTAGTGCCCAGGAAGAATCACACTAGACCCAGAGGGTAGAAGGTCCTGGCTTCTCTTCCCACCGCTGTGCTGGGGGATCTTGAGCCCATGAAAGGGCTCAGCGGCAAGGCCAGCGGCTCTATCCCTGCCTGCGGCCTAAAGGCCAAGAGAACCTCCCTTCCATGAGGGGTAGGAAGGACCCTATGTGGACCATGCGTTTACTCCTCTCTCTCCTTCTCTCACCGGGGCTTTGAAGGCCATATCACTAAAAATGCTAGCACTTTATGAACTGTAAAGCACCTGAAAAGGAATTTTTATGAATCTTGCAGGTAGATTCATTTGCATTCAATAAGGAATTCTGTTCTTAGCAGACTGAGAGGTGTGTGTGGGGGCGGGGGCGGGACGGACTGGATGAAAAAGGTGAAGGGATTAAGCAAAAACAACAAAAACACCTACTAGACACAGAAAACAGTATGGTGATTACCAGCGGGGAAAGGGGGAGGGGGTAATGAGGCTGGGGGAGGAAGTAGAAGAGGGTAAAGGGATAAATGGTGATGGAAGGCGACTTGATTTGGGGTGGTGAACACACAATATACAGATGTAGTATAAATTGTATGCTTGGAAACTATATTTTATTAACTAGTGTCACCCCAATAAAAATATGTTCTCAGACAAAAGTTAGCATGTATACAAGTCCTACCGTGTGCACTGTTTTTTAAAAATATATATTTTGATTTTTACAGAGAGGAAGGGAGAGGGGACCCTTCAGTCCACAGGCTGACGCTCTATGTATGCACTGAGCCAAACCGGTCAGGGCCTGTGTGCACTGTTGATGCCAGAGAGCACGCACCTGCCACACCCCCTTGTTTTAATGGACTACAGAATGTATTTGGTTGCGATAATATTTTTATTAAAGCAACTTTTCCAACAGTCTCCAGATGGCAAGATTCATCAGAGGCCGTCCATTTGAGGCCTTTCCTGGGATGTGTCTGTGTGCATGTCCCACGTTGCTACACCTAATTTTCCAGGTTCTCTGGCCAGACTCATTAACTGACTTTCAGACAAAGGCAACCAGAAATGTCAGCTGTCCTTCCTACCCATCATAGGCAGGGTGAGAAGGGTGTGGGATCCTGTGGGAGCCCCACCCAGAGCCTCTGCCAGAACTCGTCTGCTTACCTATAAATGGGTAGGTACAGAAACGTCAGGTATCTTTTGTAGGAAAATTCAAGCCAACCAATCAGAATTTAAGACACCAGTAAAACAGCCTTCCCTTTGTCTGTAGAGCTGTTCAGACTCTAGTTCTCTATCAGTTTGCTGGAAAGAAATTTCTATCTAGGCTGAAATGCCCTATCTTAGTTTTCCCACATGTGTAACAATTTATCCATACAAACATGAATTAGATTCACTTTTGGAATTTGATATTTATAAGTAAGTTCCCTCCACTTAAATTCTTAGTATATTTGTAGATTTTAACTTCCTCAGTTTAGTATTTAGAACAAATGTTCCTGTTCAAGAGATAATGCCCAAACTATTCATTTTAACCCTATCAGTCACGGACATTGGTATCTTTGGTTATTACCTTTAGCATCATTCTCTGAAAAAGTTTTTTTCCAGAATGTAATTCATATGCAAATCCAACTCCAGGGTGTAATTACTTTAAATGATACACCTTGCATTTATTTACACTGAGGGGCCCAACAGTGTGAATGGGTTGGAAGACCAGCAATGACACATCACTCACTGAACGACAGTGAGTGCTTCTGACACTTGACCCTATTCCTCCCTGAACGTAACTCTACTGGGACCCTGGTAGCTTTGGGTCAATGGAATGACTTTCCTGGACTGAAGTATTATTGTGAAAACCCACCTCTAGATGAATGTAAAGTTAGAAAGTCTTTCCTTGAGGCTCACAGGCTCGCTACCTGTGCAATGAGCTGCTTTCCCCCTATTTTCTACTCCCTGCTCGTAAGACATTATTGAAAAGTCACCAATGGGTTTCTAATCAATAAAGAGTAACTTCCCAAGATGCAGCCCACCACTCAGGAAGTAGCTTTGCAAAGAGCGGGTTCCATAGCTGTGGGACTTGATGCCTCTCTCGCTCCTCTATGGCCCCGTCGATCTTGGGGGTGGGGTGAGTGCAATCTTTGCACTTGCAGCTCTTCCTTATGCCCAGGAAGCTGACAGCTGCTGTCCAGTGCAATGCTCTCTGGTCTGCACACTCATGGATGTTGACCTAGGTAGTGCATTATTCTGATGACTTTTCGTATCCACTTGACCTTAACCGATGCTACCGATTCTTCCTTCCAGCCAACATTAAATAACAACAGCAGGAAGTTTTATTCCATAAAGCATTAAGATATTTTAATGAGGAAAAACCCATATCTTAGTCTTATGTTTCTATTCAGACACTCAAATGTAATTTTTCCTTGCCTATCCCTTCAAACTTTATTTGTGACCATTGTAATAAAGGCCAGTTTAAAGATTTTTTTTAAAAAAAAGTTTAAACCTTTTTAAAAAAGATTAAACAACCAAGCTAGCAAAAATGGTACTCAATACATACTTTCCTTATATCAAACAGGCTAGTATTTCAGTACAGTGTAACTATACAGAATATATACAATACACATGTGCACAAAGCAAACACTATAGGCTCAGAACAGATTTGAAAAAACAATATTCACATTGATTACAATAACTCTAAAAATGATTGTAACGTTCAAACGGCACTTAGTTTACAAAAAAGTCACAAATATATATATGTCATCACCAAGAACTATGGTTCCTGTAAAATACTAATAGCCAGAGACTAGTATACAAAATGTGAAGTTCTGACACTGTATACATTTTTAGGAAATAAAATCCCAAACCGTTGTTGTTATTGTTGAAAGTCAAACATGCTAAGGATCTTGTAAGTGATGGCCACCTTCACCGAGAAAAGCCATACTTGAACGAGATGACTGGATACAGAGCTGGTGAACGGGGTGGGGGGCTGGCGCAGTGGAGAGAGCTGCGCTGGTTGCAGGAGGGGGTAGAAGACAAACACCATCTACATAATTTAATTCACATTTCCTCCCCGGCACTACCCTCCCCCAAGGGTTTCACAAATGCCAGTGCCCCACAAAGAATCATAATGCTGTAACTAGCAGGTCTCCCCAGCCTCCTTGATGCTGGGCTATAGGAAATAGGAAAGCATCCGTCCGCTGACTAAAGCAGCTGCCCTGTGGGGCAGCTCCCTGCTGGGCTGGTGGTACTACAAAGTCCTCCAGTTTTAAATGGAGCCGGATTTACATGTTCGCTCTGTAAAATATTGAGCTAAGGTAGCAGCAAATAGGAAATTACAGAAACAAACCCACGTTTTTATTTAAGAAATTCATCTGTTACATCAAAACATTTTTTCCTTCATATCTGTCCCCTTTAACCAGACATCGACTTCTTCTACCACGGAATTATGATCTGTTGTCTCAGTCTGACTTTCTCATTTTGTCGCTATGGAAAAACACATGTCCTAATCCTGGAAAGTTTAAATTTACTGTTAAAAATGGGAATACAGGAATTTTAAAGTAAAAGAACCAAGTCTGTTCTAAAAGTATCTCTCACAAATATATATATATATATTTAAATATTAAAATAGGCTACATAGACTCTTTATAAAATGGCTTTTGAAAAGATAGTAGAGACTCGAAGAAGCCATACACTATCCTCTGGTCGGACTGAGGTGCCATAGGGTGCCTTACACAGAGGCAGCGCTCTCCACTGATGCAGGAGCACCAGGAAAACAACAGAAAAATCAACTACTACTGGGACTTGGATTGAAACCAAATCCCACCCTTTTAGGACTGTTATTTCTTGAAAATACCTTGAAATCTAGGCATTAGAAGCCATCACTCTGTACAAGGAACAAGTCTAAGGATCTGACTCCTTCCAAATAAATACCCGATGGCACTCACTTCAGGCACCTGAAAGACGAAGAGCAGTGCAACTTCCAGCAACGTGCGGGACTCCTCTCAGCATGAGGGCCTTGACTGGGCATCTGCCACCTGCTACACCAGTGACTCAGAGAAGCGGCCTGAATGCTCCCCGTCTTTGAATGACCAGCCCCACCGATACCCGGGGGAGAAGGGTGGGGAGACGAGGGCCCCTGGAGAACAGGAGGACTTCTCCTCAGCAGGGGACAGACTGTGTTTGGTGACCTGAACATTCATTTACAATGAGATTTTTGTCTCCACTCCAGACTGTCAACTCCTCGAGGTCAGGGACAGTCTTTTATCTCTGAACCCAGTGTCCCTGGGGGCATAGCACACATTACACGTGTTCTTAAGCCAAACCCCTGGTGCCATGAGAATGTGAATCAGACGACTCTTCCTTTGATCTTCAGAGAAAGTGAGAAAATCTCAGCCCAAAACTGCCAGGGGGTTGGGGAGGGAGAAGGAGATGGCAGGTCAGGGCCTGCCCGGCCGGTGTGGCTCGGTGGTTGAGCGTCAACCCAGGAGCCAAGAGGTCACAGGTTCATTCCCAGTCAGGACACATGCCCAAGTTGCAGGCTTGATCCCCAGTGGGGGGCATGCAGGAGACAGCCAATCAATGATGTTTCTCTCTCATTGAGGTTTCTATCCCTTTCCCTTCCTCTCTCTCTAAAAATCTTGGGGGAAAAATGAGTTTAAAAAATTTTAAATATGTTTTTGTTCTCTATCAATGGTCTGAACTCCTCGTTCTTTGTAAACGATCATGTAAACAGGAACCCTGGCATTGGTTGGAACTGCCCAGGGACTATGCAGAGGGAGGTTGCTCAACTCGGACTCTCAGGCAGGCCCACTGCTCAGATACTGCCAACTGAGTCCTGTAACATTGCCTTCCAGCACGCAGAGGCTATTTGTAAAGGCAGAAATGCATGGATCTATTACTTTTTTTTTATCATAAAAATATAACCACTATGATATAGTGAAACCATCTAACTGTATAGTTTACTATGAAGTAAAAAAAAAGTACACCTATGATGTCACCAAGTCTTCTCCCATAAGCTGACAGATTTAACTTTCTATTAATAAATCTCAAGATTCTTATAATTCTAAAAATGAAATATCCAGAGTGTCCGTTCCTTAGTTGAACCTGAAAGCTGGCTCACTTTCACTTCATTGTTTAATCTGAACCATTATTGCTCTTTGCAAATTTGTCTTGCTGAGGGCTATCCACATGGTAAGACAACCCAAAGATAAAAATGGGTCCAAGCAAAATAAGGAGTTACTTATGAGTTTGATGATTTTAACGTAAAGCCTGTAGGACTATGTTCAGCTGTAACTATTCCTCACAGACGTGTTTACTATAATGGAGATTCCCCCAATTTTGTTTCTGCTTCAGAAAAAAAAAATCATGCTTCTATATATTCTTTTAGTAACTTTCAAAACATAAGATGCTTTATTTGTAATATATTTATGTCAATAACTCACAGTGGAAAAACCACATTACCTTTTAGCAACTTTGGGTCCTTTCAAAGCGAACTTTGAGGCCTCCCCCCAATTAATATTACCACCTAGAAAACTACGATCCCTCACTTGGACGTATATTTCAGTTATAACTTCACCTTTCCCAGGTGAGTGGAAATACTTAAGTGCTGCATGAAAGTTTCTCATTCTCTTCAATTCCTCAAATCTCAAACTTTTCAGTTAAATACTACAATTTTAGGATTGTTCATTCATCAAGTACTAATTCTCTCCATGTACTATTCAGTATACATCACCACACAGTAATGTTGTTGTTTTTTCCCCAGGGACTACAAAACTTAAGAGATGAACACACGATCTGAGAGTCTTCAAAATAAAAGCCACTAAACCAGACAACTGGCCTCTATTTAGATTAAGGTAAGTACAAGAATAAAAATAAGAAATAAAATACTGAAAGAGCAATACAGCTTTCAAAGGCTCCCGGGGAACGGTGTCCACATCAGGAGAGACTGACTCAGTAGTTTGCAGGTAACAGTGTTAGCAATAATAAATACATCACATGTGCTGGCTAGTCCACCACTTTGGTAAAATACTTTAGCGAAATGGAAGCTTTTTTGTTTTGAAAGCCAAAGGGCATTATATCATAACAAGGAACCAAATTACTGTAAGCCAGAGTGCTTGCTGAAATATGAGACTGCATGAGGCTATTTAAACATCTTAGTACACTTTGTCTCACTGAAATCAAGAACTTTAAAAACGGACAATGTAACTAAATGTATAACTAAGTACTTGAAATAAAAATTAAGATGACTTGAAATTCAAATTAAGAACAATCAATTTAAATGTATTTGCGGGTGACAAACTCCTTCTGCTTCCCTTTACAGAAAACTTAAAATTCCAAAAATATTAAATAAAACCCAATATTCACCTGTTTCTGAATTAGTATAATCACTGACATGCCCGACATGCCCGACATGTCCGCTGTTAGAAATGGAGAGCAACCGCAGGAACTTAACGCCCACCTGTTTCTGAATTAGTATAATCACTGACATGCCCGATGTGTCCGCTGTTAGAAATGGAGAGCGACTGCAGAAACTTAACGCCCAGTGCACCACTGCAAACATCTTTGCTCATTTCTAAACTAGATCACATGTATGTGGTAGCTTAAACATGGAAAACACATGTGTTTCTTGTATAAAATACTTGGTTTTAAAAAGGCAACTTATTCCATATCCTAAAATTTAAGCCCTTTAAATATCAGTTACCCTCTTGGGCCTTAAAAAAGACAGGTGTGCTTAAGTATTCGAAACTGGACTCTTTAATGTTTAATTATACTGACAGTTTCTAATGACTGAGATAATGTAACTGGCTTTCATCTGTTTGCAATGTTTTCCATATATATTCTGGTAAAAATTACATATCCAAACATCCCTCACTTGCATGAATTTTAAATAAACCTAATTACCACTATGTACAATTATCCCTCGAAAGGGATCTATAAGCCAAATAGCCTTAAACTGTGTTGTCAAGAAAAACGTGAGCCTTCCTGAAAGAGAGAAGGCCTTTGTTTATATCGTTTTATGTTAAATTCTAGTTAACCATATTGCTAAGATTTGGGAAGAAGACAAGTAACTAAGTATGCATTTTCACAGTATTATACTCTGAATTTTTCAAAAAATTGGCAATCTGTGAAATTGTTAATTGCCAATGAAAATCTAAAGTTTCCATCTGGGGAAGAATAGCCGGCGGTGGTAATTCCGCATCTGAGAACACAGACTACCTCAGAGCTGCCCACGCAGCGCCAGCTCTGTGAGAGCAGAGTTCTCAGGCAGGTGTGCCCAAACACCTTCTACCAACAAGATTCTAACACATTTATTTAACCCCATTTCTTTTCCTTTCGTTTAAAAATAACTCTTAGAGCTGAGGGCACCAACTTCTGGTCATAATTTTACCTACTGTTTGACTCGTTCAGGTAAGATTAAAAAATTAACTGTGACATTTACCTACTGGCAGGCATAACAGTTTCCCAAGTATATGACCCTGGAAGTAAGAATCGCTGACCTTTCCAGCTGGGACACAGCAGGACTGTTACTACGTGTCTGCGGCAGGAAGCAATTCAACCCTGCTAGTCAAGAAGCGTAAGTGTGAGCCCATCATAACCTGTCTGTGCTGACTTTCCTGAAGGTAATATGCACACATCTGAGAGCCAAGGGGTAAGAATGGATTCATGAATGAGATTAGGAGTTGGAAACAAGTTAAAGACAGAATACGGAAAGAGACTAAAAGAAAATTAGCCTTAAAAAACTTCAATGAGTTTACTTTTCCTTCCATTACATTTGTGGGGGGATAAAATAAATTACAGAATTAGCAAATTAAAAAAAAAAGAAACAAATCACTAAAACTTAAAAAATATGTTTTATTATTAAGGTCTAGCACCTGGACAAAATTCAAATCTTGTTTGCTGAATAAGAAACTGTATTTTAACCTCCTTTTTTCTGATTTAATCAGGTGCTTTCATAATTATTAAACTTTGGGTATATACATAGTTACTCAAAGTTCATTGTTCATAAACTCATGAATATTCCAGATCAAGGTAAGTGATGCTTTAACTGGTCCTAGATGAAAAGTATGTTCCAGCCTAGAGTATCATATAAATTCAGCTATAAATCAGAAAGTTTCATTAGTTAGCAGCAAAAAGGTGATATTCATTAATTTAAGATTTTTAGTTTTTCTTTAGTTTTAACTGTTTCCCCCCAGATTTCTGAGTCATAGACCATCATTCTATAGACTATCCTCATCTTTTACATTATTGCTTACATTGTGTAAAAACTACACTAACTGATTTTAATAAACTTGGCAACGTCTAAAAATATTTTGGGACAAGGATAACATATCACTGCCATATGGAGTTTTTGTAAACAATCTTAGCTGGGTTAAGAACGTAGTCTTAATATAATTTTTATTTTGTCTAAAACAGCACAATAAAAACATCCCCAACAATACATAAACCTACATATAAAATATAGAATATCTCCAATATTTTTCCTTTATATAGTATCATGACCGCATATGCAAGAGAAAGTATTGTGGGTGGGGAAAGAGGAAACTAATTTAGGCAGTGACCTAATTAGTCAGACATTAACATTCAAAGACCAGCTGGACAACTTCAGCTAGAAAAGTAGTATTATAAAGAGCTCCTATGAAATTGGAATTTACGTACTACATTCTCCATTCCTGGTCACTTCATGCATAGCTGGACTATTCGCAATCATGGTTTTTGCCTTCTTTTGTAGAAGAAAGGTAAGATTATTTGGAGGACTGGTTCTATAAAGATTCAGGGAATGCCTATCCCAATATCAAATTTTCACCATGAAATATCAGAATAGAAAGGACAAAACTTAAAAAAAAACCACCCAGGCCCAGGCAACATGGCTCAGTGGTTGAGCGTTGACCTGTGAACCAGGAGGTCACTGTTTGATTCCTGGTCAGGGCACATGCTGGGTTGCAGGCTCCATCCCCAGTGTGGGACATACAGGAGGCAGCTGACAGAAGCATCAATGGTGAGAGAGAATCATCTATCTCTTTCCCTCTTCCTCTCTGAAGTAAAAAAAAAAAAAAGAGTATCTACCCTAATAATTTTTAAGATAGCTTATAAATACTTCCAGAAACAAAAGGCTTTACAAAAAAACCTCTGTACAGCGTCCGGTGTACAGGAGTAAACATCTATCCAGGCCATCTGTCACATTCCTTTTAGTAGTTTGTTTCTGGTGTGCCCTTTCATCTCAGGAAGATCAGCATTCACCCGATTCCTTCGTTACCTAATGATCTGTTGTTAGTCTACTAACAACAATGCAAGGAGAAACAACTACATGTTTTAAGTCAATTGGTTCTCCTTACACCCAACAATGTATTATATTTCGACACCATGTTATTGTGTACTTACAGAAGCAATCTCCCAGTCATGAATTGCAGGGTTCAAAAAGTAAAAAGGAAAATTCTTCCCCAAAACCTTTTTAAAAAAATTAAATTAAATTTAAATGTACAAGACCAAGCACAGGCACTTCCCAAAAAACCAAAATGAAGCCAAACCATGGAATTACTCAATAGTTATAGAAGACAGCTCTGATTTGGGGGGGTCCCCTCCAGTGGCCTCGGCACAGGCACTGGTCTTGGGCTGCTCTGTCACTTCTTCCTCCTTTTCTGCCAGCCCGGCGAGAGACCCCAGGGGAAAAGTGCTTTCACAATTCTGGGTCGAGGAGACCTGTGAAATTACAGGCATTTGAACAGAGGAGTTGCTTTCAAAACTGTGTTCTCCAAGGTCGTACTGAACAAGGGCCTCTTCTTGCTCGTGGTTTAAGTAGTCCGGTACTAGGAAATCACTAAGAGGAAAGGATGAAAAAGAGAGTTAATTCTCAAACCTGTAGTAAACAAGACACAATAAAAAGACCTAGTCTATAAAACAAGATCAGGATGTTTTATTTCTCCAATTCTTAAAGGAAGATTATATTTAAGATTTTAGTCCTAGTCAGTTTGGTTCAGTGGATAGATCATCAGCCTGTGGACTGAAGGGTCCTGGGTTTGATTCTGGTCAAGGGCTCGGACCTCGGTTGCAGGCTTGATAATGGGCCCTGTTTGGGGTACGTGCAGGAGGCAACCAATTGATGTTTCTCTGTCTCTCCCCCTCCTTTCCAACCTCTAAAAATCAATGGAAAAATATCCTTGGGTGAGGATTAACAACAAAAACTAGGAATTTAACTTTTAAATTGTCCTAAATATGAACCTAAGCACTCTATTAAAACCAAAGTATATCAACTCTCACTACCACCAATAGATAAGATTCAATGTCACCTCTCGTTTTATGTAGACAGTTTCTATTAAGCAAAGATCATTTGAGTAAAATTATGCTTAACCTTTCTTGGACTATATACTTATTAAAAAGTATATGAGCCCTGGCCAGGTAGCTCAGTCGGTTAGAGCATTGTCCTGATACGCCAAGGTTGCGGGTTCAACCTACAGTCAGTGCACATACAAGAATCAACCAATGAATGCATAAATAAGTGGAACAACAAATCGCTGTTTCTCTCTTTCCCTCTTCTTCCTCTCTAAAAAAATCTAATACATTATTACATTTGTACATTTGAATCAGAATCCTATGAGATTAGTTATATTTTAATCCTCAAAGACTATTGAGTTTACTAATATTGAAAGTACTTAATAGTCTATTGATATGACAAGTATTTAATTATTGAATGTAATATATACCAAAATTTTAACAACAGTAAATATTATTCCTGAGTGGTGAGATCAGAAAAGGTCTTAATTTCTTATATTCCATACTATAAGTATTTTTGTAGTTAAAACAATAAATATTATGAAATAAGTCTTATCTTAGATGTTTTATTTAAACCTTTATTGCTTCATAATACTAAAATGTCAACTCGTACACTTAATAGTTATCAATACTGGACAGTTCAATTATAAAAAAATTAAAAATCTGCTCATAGGTACAGCACTTTCAGATGTCATGTGACACTTTCTAAAAACCCGTCAGGTTTCAGACACGCGACGTGGAGGACAGAGGAGTGGTTAATGGACACTATTTTAGTCCCAAACAATGTTTACTGTGACATGTATAATCGAGGTTCAATGATATGACCACTAGATGCTCAGAGTTAGAAATAATTACATTAAACAAAGTGAATGTCTGATTTGAAGAGAACAAAATCTATGTAGGAATATTTGGAATTTATTGAGAATATTTAAAAAAGTGGTTTAAGATTCATTTTATATGAAATTGAGCATGCCTATAGATGTATTAAAAGTAGACAACAGAATAGTGTATCTAGAGGGGACCTTAGAAATCACCTTCCCAGCTCACATTTTATTCTTTTCTAACTTTCAAGCCCCTTCATCGGGAAAGTGACATACTCCATCAGGACAGCAGTTTGTGGCAAAGCTAGAACCTGATTTCCTCAGATAGCCTATAAATCAGAAAGGCAATTCCATCATAAATTATTATTAAAAGCATGATGTTTTAAGCTGAAAGGAAAAAAGGAAAACCACTTGATCTAAATAATCATATCTATTATAATTGCTACTGCAATTTCTTTTATATATTCCTTTATATAGAACTATAAACGAGAAATGCTCAAGAATTTTATTAACATCACTAAGTATCATCTGACATGGCAAGTTTCCAATAAGGTCCATTTACGATCCACTATAGAATTACTTTAACCTTATATATGTATCTCAAAACACAACAAAAAACACCAAAAACAACAACTCAACAGGAGCCAGCCAGTGTTGTTCAGTGGTTAAGCAATGACCTATGGATCACAGTTTGATCCTAGGTCAGAGCACGGGGTTGTGGCCTCAACCCCCAGTAGGAGGTGTGCAGGAGACAGCCGATCAATGACTCTCTCATCATTGATGTTTCTCTCTCTCCCTTCCTCTCAGAAATCAATAAAAATGTATTTAAAACCTTAAAAACAAAACAAAAAAACCAAGATCAGTAGCCTATTCCTATAGAAAAAGATTCCTAATTTCAAAAATAATATTCTTAATTGTCTATACTTAGAAGATTCAGCAAAATTTTATCCGATCAGATTGGAGTATGGATTGGATTTTAAAAGGAATGTGCCTGGTTACCTGGCAGCCTGATAAAGACAAAGCAGGCTGCCCTAGAAGCAGGAAGAGAGGTCAGAAAGCAGTGTTCCTGGGGGTCTCGCTGTGCACCTCACCTGCTCTGGAAGTAGTTTGCTAGCTCTGACGCTTCATGGTTCAGACTCCTCAGGTGCACGATTAAATTTCCAGAGTTGGTGAACATGGCGCCACATGTTTTGCACTCGTAAATCCGAGGCTTGCGGATAATGTGCCGGGAAACCCTCATGTGGTGCTTATATTCCCCGAAGGAAGTGAAAGTGGCACCACATATCTGGCACCGGAAACAGCGTTTACCTTCATGCTTTAGGCGATGCATCTTTAGCGAGTAAGCCCTGGTGAACTTTTTTCCACAGCGGTCACACTGAAATGGTTTAATTCCTATAAAATAAAATAAAATAAAATCTGAAAACAAAATTAACTGAAAGTTTATCAACCTCACAAATTTCTGAGTTATCATTCTGTAGCAATAGATAATTTGAGAAGACAAAAATCACCAGCAAAATTGAATTGCACTTTATTATCTTAGGAAAGGTACAGAATATCTGAAGTTGCTACTTAAAAAAAAAAAAAAGGCAAGTGGGGTGGAGTAAACTAGGTAATATACACTCAAGTTGTTATGTGAACACCCTTCAAAATCATCTATTTTACAAACTTCAAAACACAATTTAACTACAATATTTAACCATAACCCAAGTCCCCTATAACATTTGTTTCATTTCATTAGTGAGCGTTATATTGAAAAGATGTGAAAAAGATTAGTACCTACTCTTCATTCCTCATCTCAGAGAAATGAATAGAAGAAAAATCTAACTTTTCTGAACATAAAACGATCATGATAGAACTACCATGTGATGACTTGGGTTTTTAGGTATTTAATGTATTAGTGATAGGTCATTATCACAGTTTTGGCAAATTTTTTTAAAACCTTCAGAATATAATCTGTTGATTTAACAGTCACAGGAAACTGGTATTAGTCACAGGACTGTTAGACGTTTCTAAAGAAGAGGAACATGAGAGGGCACAGCTGAAAATGACAGCAAAGATTTCTGACTTATCAGAGGTCGGTGTTTCACCTCCAAGAATTCTGCTGCCTTTCTGTGATCACTGAACTTAAGTTTCAAATCTTTTATCCAAAAATCTCGTTCACACTAAAAATGGACTACAAAGCTAACCAGACAAGGCACAGAGAAATTCAGGATTGTAGAATTAAAATTAAATTATTAAATATTAAAAAATCACTTTTTATTTCAAATTTCAAACTTACAGTGAAAACAGTACAAAGAGCACTTACACCCTTTTAATGCCATTTGCTTTACAATCTGTATTTGTGCTTCTATACCTCACATATACACACACACCAACACACCCAGCATTTTTGACTTACGTTACACACACACTGCGCTAAGCTTTAACCCTAATGCTATGCCTGTGGAAAACATACTACAGCTTCTGACACTGCGCTATTTCAACAACAGACCTGGGCTTATCTGTTCTCATTTGACTTCCCAGAGATGCCTATACATTTTAAACTAAAAACCACCTGTTTGCTATTTTTAACTGGGATTCCAAAATAAAATGTTTTAGAGTACTCATTCATGCCACAGTAGGGAAGGTGACGTTACCTGAGTGGATGAGCATGTGCTGTTTTAGGTTCTGAATTCGGGTGAATCGCACCCCACAAGTTGGACATTGAAAAGGTCTGTCCGGACCATTTGGGCTGGGCCGTTCTGTACTGCTGGTAGAAGGAGCAATGTAGAGTTGGTAGGGATACTGAACATTTTCCAATCTAAAAAACAGACCAAAGAAGGCAACCAGGCTCTGATTTTTAAGTTGAATAAACATTTCTGCACAACATTTAAGTGAACAAAAGAAAAAGCACTTAAAGATTTTGGAAATAGTTTCACTGTTAGATGACAAGTTTCATTTGCGGCAATATGAAAAATGTTGTACAGAATGGCCAGTATCTTAAGCAAGGATATACAGCCATAGAACACACCATAAACACTTTTACTTCAAGGATATTTAATCTTTCTAATTCTTTCCTTCCTACTGCTGCTTTAATTTAGGCCCTCATCAATACAAGGCTGAATTAATAACTCCCTCTCTTTAGGCCCACAGGCCTCTAAATCTATCCTTCTCACTGTTTCACAATGATTTTTCAGATTCAATCAGCCACCTTTTAAACTCCTGCAAAGGTACAGTTATCTTCAGAATAAAGTCTAAACCCTTTTGCAAGGCACTCTTTATGACCTGAGTTCTGCAGCCTCACGTCTTGTCACAGTCCCCAAACACACCCTATACCAAGCTTCTTTATGACCTGAGTTCTGCAGCCTCACGTCTTGTCAAGTCCCCAAACATACCCTATACCAAGCTGTTCCTCCTACTAGTTCTCTCAGTGCTGTGCTTTTGTACACTGAACTTCCTCTATTAGCCTACCGTCTTTGCCTAGATAACACCTAGTCATTTTATGAAATGTGGTAAAGTTGCCTCCTCCTCCCGGAAGCATTCTTCGATTTATTAGAGGCTTAGGTTAGCTACCTTCCTATGCAGAGCAATAGAACCCTCTGCAGAGCACTCGAGATTATGTTTACTTTGCCTATTTTCAACCTCTCTCCCTTCCCACAAACTGGTTTGATTCCTCTGAGGGCAAGGACTACACATTTCATCTCTAGTATCTCTACCACTTACCACAGTATCTAGTATAGAACAGACAACCATTAATGTTTGAAATTAAGGAATTTAGGCACATTTACATTTGTTTACACCTTCATTATTTATTCAAATGACTGGTACCTAACCTGCTATGCCAGGTTCAGCTGTTCAAGAACAATAAACCTTGTTTGCAGTCTTTGAATGCTTCAAGTTTTCAACACATACAATTTTTAAGTCTGCCCTGGGCTCTCTATGAGGAATTAATTCAGTGGTCAAAGACAATACTCAAGAAAATGATCAGAATGAAGAATTAAAATAGGGTAAACCAATAGTGATAAGTGCAGCTTTATTTTAGACTGCTGGCTAGAAAACGCTCCCTTGAGAACTGACGAGTCCCCAAAGCAGAAACCAATATTGACTGTCCCCTGAACCGAACGGAGATCTATATGGCTAGAATGTAGTATGCAAGGAGAATGGTCTGAAGGAAGTTGGGCAGAAGTTGTATCATATGGGGCTTTAAAGGCAAGGAGTTTAGATTGAAGTGTGAATCTATAGGAAACAAGATCATTCCAGCTGCTACATGGAGAATGACTGGAGTAGGGGGAGAATGAAATCAGAGTAGTCAAGGCAGAGGGTGGTGGTGACTTGGGCTCGGGTGGTTGTAGCAGAGATGGAGGAAAAGTGGACCCAAGAGGGATGTTTTGGAGGCAGAGATGTGAGGACTTGTTTAAGGATGAAGTATGGGGAGTGAGGGGAAGAACAAGTATACTTCCTGGAGATCCTGCCTGAGAAGTTAGGGGAACGATGAAGCTGTCTGAGGGGAGCTAGAAGTCTTGAGTTCTGTCCTGGCCACGGTTAAGTCTGAGATGCCCCTTACTCATCTATGTGGAAACATCGAGCAAGAGGGTCAATCTGAAAGTAACTTGGGAATAATGGGTATGTAGATGAGGGTTTGGCAACTATTTTCTGTAGTAGGTTAGACAGTAAATATTTCTGGCTCTGCACACCACATGATCTATTTCAATCACTCAACTCTGCGTCCACAACAATATATAAACAAATATTGTGGCTATGTTCCAATAAAACCTGATCTGCAAAGGCTCGTGGGCTGGAACTGGCCGCTGGTCCATAGTTTGCCAACCCCTGATACAGATTCTATTTAAAGAGATGAGACTGGGCAGGTTTAAAAATGCTAAAAACTGCTGTACAGGTGGTTTGATTTATGATGTGATAAAGCTACCTTGTTACTCTGAAAAATATACTAAAATGAGGTCCCAATGAACTTATTGTATAACCCCAGGTGAAAGACTTAAGAATTGCAAGCACAGTCCTTAAAAGAAAACAACCTACTATGTTAGTACTAACCGATCATCGTCATCTGCGTGAGCATTGGTGCTGGAAGTGCTTTGAAGCGTAGGTAACCCTTCGGTGACACCTTCATCTACCGAGCCTGAAAATAAAAGAAGACAGGTGTCAGTACTGTGGTGAAAATAAGCCAAGACACGAATTGCAAGCTGTAACTTTAAGCCTTTAAAAACAGACTAATGCAGCGGTTGCCAACCGGTGGTCCCCGGACCCCTGGGGGTCTGTGAGGTCCGAAAGGTTGGTGACCGCTGGACTAATGTACGTGCATATCCTGAATTAATAAAAAGTGTTCTATAATACTTTAAATGTTAAGGTGATTTAAAAAGAAATCACATGTAAGACAACAGCCTTATATTCCTTAAAACCTTTTAGGACTATTTCTTTGATATAAATGTTAGAGCAATTCAAATGTAAACTAAACAAAAATTCATGCAAAATTGAATGTTATAACAATCACTTAAGGAACCAGACGATTTTACTTTTTACGTATTTTCTGATTTGAGAGAGAGGAAGGGAGGGGGAGAGAGAAAGAGAAACATCGATCAGTTGTCTCCTGCCCCCCCCCTACGGGGGATCAAGCCAGCCACTCTGGGCATGTGCCCTGACTGGGAATCAAACCGTGACCTTCTGGTTCATGAGTCGAAGCTCAACCACTGAACCACACTGGATGGGCAACAATTTTTATTTTTTTTAAATTTTGTGGCTCAGCCAGTGGGGGACATGTATGAGGCAGTCGATTAATGATTCTCTCTCATCACTGATGTTTCTATTTCTCTCCCCCCCCCCTTTCTCTCTGAAATCAATTAAAAAAATATAAACTTAATGGCATTAAAAATGTTATTGTGACATATAACTTACTGTACATACAACTTTTACACAGAATTAAAAATTAGCTACAAAGTGAGCACCTGTGTAGTCTCCACACAAGTCCCCCTAGACCACTGCCAGCAGCCTAGCAGTCCCCATTTACTCTTCCCTGGCAAGCCCTTCCTTCCAGGAGGCAACCAGTATCCTGACTTTAATGGTTACCATTTCCTTCCTTTTTCTTGACCCTCCTTCCTTTTAAAAGTGATTTCATCTCAAATCCAGGTACCCATAAACGGGGGGTCATTTTTGCAGGAACACAGCCATGTGCCACCATCTACCATGTCCCATCACTACAATGGCAGAGTGGAGTCATCGAGGCTGCAATAGAGACCATGTGGCAGCTAAGTCTAAAAATACTACCAGTGCCCTTTAAGAAAAGTCTGTCACTCTCACCATAAATAGTATAGTTCAGTGTTGTCTGATTGTAAACTTATATAAATTGAGTCACATTGTATGTATTCCTGTGTCTTGTTTCCTTCAATATTGTGGACTTATCCATGTTATCACAGATAAGTGAAATTTAAAAGTTGCTGTATGATATTCATAACCTATCTATTTTTTAATTTTTTAGTATTAACCATCTGCAAGAAAAGCTACTTCTAAGTTACAATTCCCTAAAAATAAAAAAGGATATGGACAGCAAGGTAAGAGTCCCTGGCCTCTGATGTTATTAATAAGTCAGATATTCTTCTGAAGGTACTGTCCCCCCCCCTCCCCCCCCCCGCATTGTCTCTATAATGTGTCCAGCTTTGTTTCTTTTATTATTCTTATTGGGATTTGCTGGTGTCTTTCATCAATTCTGGAAAATTCTCAGCCATTCTCTTTTCTCCCAGGACTCCCGTCAAACCTACGTTTGTATTGTCCATAACCCTTACCTTCTCCACTGCTGTCTCTACCACTGCTCTGTGATGGTTAATTTTTATGTCCACGGTACTGGGCTAAGGGATGCCCAGAGAGCTGGTAAAACATTATTTCTGGGTGTGTCTGTGAGGATGTTTCTGGAAGAGATTAGCATTTGAATCCGTAGACTGAGTAAAAAATCATCCTCACCAATGCAAGAGGGTAATCATCCCATCCCTTGACCAACAGAACAAAAGGGTCAAGGAGGGCAAATCTCCTTGCTTGAGCTGGGATGTCCATCCTCTCCTGCTCTTGGACATCAGCTCTCCTGGTTCTCAGGCCTTTGTGTCTGTACTGGAACTACACCACCAGCTTACCTGGGCCTCCAGCCAGCAGAGGTCAAACTGTGAGACTTCTCATCCTCCATAACCAGTCAGTGAATCCCTCCTAATAAATCCCTATGTATCTGTATCTGTCCTCTTGGTTCTGTTTCTCTGGAGAACTCTAATACAGTCTCTTTTAACTTCCGATTCACCAATTCTCTTTTTTGCTAAGTCCAATCTGCTGCCAAAATGTTGACTTTTTTATTTTGGTCATTTTTTTTCTTTTCTAGAAGTCATCCCCCACAAATCTGCTGTATTACTTTTTAGTTTACTGTTCTCTGCAATCATTGTTCAAGCTTGCCTCTTTTGTTAAACATAGTAAGCATGTTTGTTTTATGTCTCTTTATGAAAACCATGCCAATTTATCTCTCTGCCTGCTTTTTCCTGCCGGTTCTCCGTCTGCCGTGTTTCCCTGTGTGCCCTGGTTGTTTCTGATGTAGTTATCACCCTTGAAAATGGTTTGCAAGGAACTGATTTGCTGAAGTTAGGATGAATATGTCCCGTTTCAGAGAAGCTTTATGTTTCCTTGTGTTCGGTTCCTAGGGGGCACTACCTAAACCACATTCACGGAGATGCAAATTTGCAAGAGGTCTTGGTGATGGCCACGTCCCCCTTTTTTGCTTTTTATCATCTAGTCTGCACAATGCCAACAGTGTTTCTACAGTCCCCTGGAGGAAGGGGAGCAGGTACTGGTATAGAACTTTGGGGTTCCTACTTAATGTAGAGCAACTGCTCTAAGAGTTCACAGCTTTCACATCCTCTGGGTCTTGGCTTCTATTTCCCTCACTCTTGGAGTTGAGTTGCCTAAACCACATTCACGGAGATGCAAATTTGCAAGAGGTCTTGGTGATGGCCACGTCCCCCTTTTCTGCTTTTTATCTTCTAGTCTGCACAATGCCAACACTGTTTCTACAGTCCCCTGGAGGGGAGCAGGTACTGGTATAGACTTTGGGGTTCCTACTTAATGTAGAGCAACTGCTCTAAGAGTTCACAGCTTTCACATCCTCTGGGTCTTGGCTTCTATTTCCCTCACTCTTGGAGTTGAGTTGATTTGTGTTTTGGTGGAGAACCTTTTTTCTGCCAAGGGCCATTTGGATATTTACAACATCATTTGCAGGCCATACAAAATTATCAACTTAAAATTCAGCCTGCTATATTTGGTCAAACATTTAATTAACTTGCCCCTAATGCCTTCGCAGGGCCAGACCAAAAGATTTCAAAGGCCTTATAAGGCCCACGGGCCAGACATTCCCACCTGTCTTAAGGAAAAACTGGTTTTAGTGCTCTGGTATCTACTTATCTCTCCTTTAAAATCAAGCATCTTTTCAAATACTTTTAAAGTACCTTTAAAAAAATCATATTGTTTTTAGTGTGTGAGTAGACTCACAAAAATTATCAAGAACACCAATTATTACACAATGTTCTAACACACTGATAGAGGTTTTTGAAAGGAGACAAGACTATGCATTTTTATATTCAACCCCAACTGTGCCCTCACTATTCTGACCACCCTCTAGCTCACCCTTACTGTTGTGTGCTTAGCATTCTATGCCTGTCTTTCCTTTTACTCTTTCCCTTACTGTCAAAGACATTTATGCTCCCCTGCCCAATATGCTTACTTATTCAACTTATTCCTGATCCTTCTGATTTGTTGTTGATTTAGGAGTGGGTTTGGGGGCCGGATAATGCTGCATTTCGTTTAGAAAGACCTGTTGACTTGTCAATATCATACCATTTTCACTTTTCCTTTAAAGAGAAGAAACTAAAGACTAACATTTCAATCTGTCCTAGGATAAAAACTGGAAAAATCCCAATATTTGGACCTGGTCACCATGGAGAGAGACACACACACACACACACACACACACACACACACACTTCTGCAGTTATTCAGAATACAGGCAATATGAAATCTTACAGGCAAAGACTTGCAAAAAAAGGCCTGGAGATATGATTAGGGCAGGCTAGGAAGACTGATCTAGACATTTGCTTCTCACCATCAGGCAAGCTACATAGGCGGGAGTGGGGTCTTGGTGAGGTGAAAAAAAACCCACTACCCTTTGGATTAATTCTCGCATTGTCAAGAATTGGCTTAAAAAGCTGGTGAAAAAACTAAAATGGAGCACAAGGTAAGTCTTGCAGATGGTCTCCCTTAAAACAAGGCTATTTCCACATTCTAAAATATCATCTAAAGTTTGGCCTCTAGATCCCTAATTTGATTGATAGTGAGCAAAGGGCATTCTCCTCTCCCCCATGGCTATTCAATGAGCCAAAAGCTAAAACAAAAAAACACTCTAAACTAAATTAAGAGTTTAACAAAATATACTTTTAGAATTCCATCCATACTGTAGACATTATAACACAGTGTTGTATCACATGCAGCTATTGGAAAAAATAAATCTTGTAAACTCTTTTTCCTGAGATACTGATGGTTTTTTACCAATGAGAAGTAATCATATGAATTGGAATTTTATTTGAACTGATGTAAGAGTAGGATATCCATTCAATGTTATTTTCTTGAGGTGATAATGATGTTTCCTAAATTATTAAAATGAAGTTCCCTTTCTACACTCTGTGGATTCTGCTCTTGGTAACCGGGGCTAAGAATTCTGAACAGATCCTTCTCACCTTAATGAAACAGTAAAGCTGATTTATAAAAACAACCAGCTGCCAAGACCGGTTTGGCTCAGTGGAGAGAGCGTCGGTCTGTGGACTGAAAGGTCCCAGGTTCGATTCCGGTCAAGGGCATATACCTTGGTTGCGGGCACATCCCCAGTGGGAGGTGTGCAGGAGGCGGCTGGTTGATGTTTCTCTCTCATCAATGTTTCTGACTCTCTATCTCTCTCCCTTTCTCTCTGTAAAAAATCAATAAAAATATATTTAAAAAAAACAAACACACAAAACAAAACAAAAAAAAAACAATCAGCTTTATATGATAAGGGCTGTCTCATCAAGAGAAATGCTATGCTCTTCCACCAATAGGGAGTGCTGTTTA